GCGTTGACCGTGAGAAGTGCCTCGCGGAGTCGTGTGCTTGCGTAGAGCTCGTCCGCGTGCTTCTCCAAGTAGTTGACTAGGTAAAGGTCGACCTTGTTCGTGCCCTTCGGCCGTCGCGTGCTCGTGCTCGTGCTGGCGGTCACGTTGCAGTGCCGCTGGTGCGTTCTCCTGCTGAACTTGGAGCTGCGTCTCGGTGCCGCGCTGGTTCTCGGTGTCCGGCGGGCGCCGCGACATCGTCTCCTGGCGCGCCTGCTCCTCCGCAATCTTGGCCCATTCTCGAATCATGTCCGAGCCATCGGACTCGATGTCATCGTCGACCGGGCCCTGAGGGGCAGGTTCAGGAGGTTGAAAATCTGCGGCAGCAGCGGCGGAAGTGGCTGCAGGAGCGGCAGCATCGCCTGAGTCTGAGGCTGGCGCCGGCGGGTCGACGGCCGCCGGTGGCGGCGGCGTCTCCGCTGGCGGTGGCAGCGGCGGGGGCTGCTGTATGTCGAGGGCCGCTGGTGGCGGCGGCGTCTCCGCTGGCCGCGGCGGCGGCGGGGGCTGCCGCGCGCTCCGGCCCCTCCGCGGCCCGGGCCGGAGCTCTGCCCCCATCCCCGGGGCCAGCGCGCGGGCGCGAGAGCAAGCACGCGGCGCGCGCGGAGCACGCCGCGCGACCCCGAACGCCGCGCGACGTCGGGAGGTCTGTGGCCCCGTCAAAGGCGCCTGGGACCGGAGAGAACTGGGCAGCCTGGGAAGCGGCCAAGGCCGCGGCCGCCCGAGGGCCCAAACCAGGGCCCGGGACAAGCCAGACACCGATCGGGGGAGGGCCCTCAGAAAGATCCGCGGGGCGAAGACCCAGGCGGCACTGCGGGCCCGGATCGCGAGAGCAAGCAGGGCCGAGCGCGGGGGCCCGGTCGCGGCCTTGAGGGTTCTCATAGCTGCCGCGCGCACAGGGTGGGCGCGGAAGTTGGCGGCCCAGAATCTGCGATCGCACCGCCAACTGGCCTGCATCCGAACGATGGCGTCTTTAACCAAATGGGGCAGGCCCACGGACAGCGGCGGGGCCTGGATAAGGGGGGCGGCCCAGAGAAACTTGTTCAGAACCCAAATGACGGCCTGCCCCCTGACCTCCCAGCCCCCGGGGAGAAGACAGACCCGGCCGAGGGCGGCGACGATGGGGCCCCAGCCGCCGCGCGGCGCCGGGAGGCGAGTCGAGTTGCGCGTCAACCCGGCGGCGGCCGCCGCGGCGGCCCCGAGGTGCTCGACGGCCCCCGCCCCGGCCCACGCCTGACGTTTCTGAACGTTCTCCTGAAGACCCAAAGCAGAATCGAATCTGCGAGTAGCATCAAGAGCCGAATCCAGCCTGGCCAACGATGAAGCCTTCACCGACCGGTCGTCGACGCACGCCCAGCTATGCGCCTGGGCACGAGCTATCAAAACATGCCAGGGGGTGAGGACCAGGGACAGCACCCGGCAGGAAGGCGGATCCCCGGCCGGAGCGCCCCTGCCCTGTGGATCGGATCAGCCAGGCCGGAACCCTCGACCGAACAGAAACGAAGGGCCTTCCACGACGCCACGAACGAACGAACGACCGGCGCCGGAGTGCCTGAGTGCTCGAGCGCGCGCCTGCACACAGAGTGCAGGGAGCCGATCAAAGGCCAAGAGGCCACGTTAGGGGCGACCCCAACCTCGCCAGACTGGCCCGCAGGGGGATCCGGAAGCGACTGGAGGAGGAGGGAGTGCCAAGTTCGCAGCAGGATCGAACCGACGCAGATGGGGCGACTCCCCTCGTCAGCCCCGCGCTTGGGGATGCCGGCCACGCGGAAGGCGTAGACCACCCTGTCGAAGGCATCGGCAGTCCTCGGGGCGGGGGGCGGGTCCTCGTCGAGGCCTGGCGCCCTGGCGAACGCGGCGGCGACGAAGATGGCCAGCGCGGAGTCGATGACCTCAGGGGGGCGTTGGGCGAGGGCGCGAAGCTCGGAGGCTCCCCGTCCGTCGAAGCCGGCGGCGCCCTTGGCGTTACCCAAATATCCTCGGGAGGCTCCCGGCGATGGGGGTCCCAAGGCCGCTCAGAGACAGGTGGGATGCCAGCCTCGGCCGCGAGGGCCGACCAGGCGTCGGCCAAAGCGCTGTCGTCGAACCCGCTGGGGCCGTCCTGACGGGCGGGGGCAGCAGCAGCAACGGCATCGGCAGGACGGCGCTCGCCGTCGTCGGGAGCCCAGACCGGGGCCCAGTCAGCACGCATGTCCTGGGAACCGAAAGTAGTGGGGAGGGCGGTCGGCCGGACGACCGCGGCGGCCGCCTTGGCCGCTCCGGGGCCCACCTCGCAAATCGAGCCCTCCAGAGACGGAGCGACGCTATCTCGGCCGCCTCTTCCTCCACCCCGATGATGCGGCGGAGGACGTCGGCCGCGGGGCCCAACGTGCTGCGGAAGCAATCGGCACGGCCCGCCCTGTAGGCCGAATGCCACTTGCGAAGAAAAGGTCTCGTGAACGGGGCCGCGGAGGGCCCTCCGGGGTGGAAAGCCGACGATTTCCACGCCTCCTGCAAGCACCGCTCCAGCCGCCTGCAAACCTGGAGGCGGATCGACTGGGGCTCCCAGAGGCTCGACGTTGGCGCCGCGGGCCGGTAGGACGGCCACGAGCCTTTGGAACGCTCAGGTTCCCGCTCGCACGACGCCAACCCCATGGCGCAGGCCCTCTGCAGCGCGGCCCCGGCCGCAGCGTGCCACCGTGCGATGGCATCACGGGGGGGGAGCAGGGCGAGGGGGGAAAAGGGAGACGGAAAGCAAGAGGGGGGAAGGGAAGGGGCGGGCGAGGGAGAGGGAAGGGAAGGAGAGGGGAGGGGAGAGGCAAGCCCCGCAGCTGCGCACTCGCCGAAAGCACGAAGCAATTCAGCGCACTGGGCCGGAGTGGGGCCCGCGCGCCACGCATGCAGCGCCGTCCTCCTGGCACGGACCGCCGGAGAGAGCGGACCAGGCGCATCGGGAGCTAACCCCCGAACGTATCGAAGAAAACCGCCACGTGATGGGGGCACGTCGAGAACCGGGGAAGTGAAAGCAACCTGTGCCGAGGCCCCTTTGACGACGCACCGCGTGGGCGTAGCTGGGCCGTCGAGGGCGGCGGGGACAGGGTCCGTAACCGTCCAGTCTGGGCCGAGCGCCCGATCGTAGACGGGCTTCCAATTAAAATCCCCCACCAAGACCGAAGGAAGATAATTCGTCGGGGAGCCAGCCGTGGCGAGGAGGGACGCGAACCGACCCAAATCCGGGGCCGCCGCCGGGCCATATGCGGACCCGATCCTGCCGCCCGAGATGAATCGAGCACAGTCGCGCCAAGAGGTGGGCGACCCGGACCGAATCCCGCGCCCGAGCTCCGGTCTCCACAACAGGGCGCAGCCCCCCTGCCGCCGGATCTCCGGGGCCTTGGCCGAAGGGGCCCGGTCTTGCGCAGGCGGGGGGGCCGACCATTGGAGGCGCCAGCCGGCCTTTGACGCCAGCTCGGCGGCCCACGTCCACCCACCCTTGGGGTGCTTGGTTTCCCGGAGAGCGACGACCACAGCCCCGTGCCGCTCAGCGAGGGCCAGATCTCGCTCGAAGCGAACTCGCGTGAGCACCGTAACATTCAGAGATATGATGCGGACACCTTCAGCACCCTCCGCGCTGGACAGATGACTGAAGGGCCTGCAGCCCCGAGTGCTGGGCGCTCTCGGGCTCGTCCGGGCCTTGGAGCGGTTTCTCACGGGATGTTTGTTTTACAGGCGGTTCCAAGACGGGACGGGGAGCTCCGAAGAGGCCCCCAAGACGGCTGGAGAGGGCCCCGAGACGGCCGAACATCAATCCAAGATGCCCAGGTCCCCCCCCCGCACCAGGAGGTCTCCAGGGGGCCACCGCGACACAAAGGTGTTGCAATGTTCAGCGTTCTCGCCTCTTCGGGCTTCCGACGCTCCTGGACGAACCAGAGAGCCGCCCGCCCATAGATGACTCCTGAGGCAGAGACTATGGAGAGAGAAAAAAGGAAATAAACAAAACAAGAGAAAGAGAGAGAGAGAGAGAGAAAGAGAAACCGAAAAAGAACGAAAAAGAGTAGACAGGCCGATCTGCATAATGTACGTATATAGAGGGAGGGAGAGAGCGGCAGAGAGCACATGTGGAAAAGGTTGATAGATATCAAGCATGTAGAACGGTTTGTGGTAGGGGAGGGAGACAAAGAGAGAGAGAGAGATATACGATATAGTAGATAAGAGAGGAGTCATGGACATATCAGGATCAAGAGCAGCAGTATGAAGAGAGAGAGAGGGCGTATACGTATACACATATATACATGGATGTACATGTATATAGTATGTGTATATATATGTATATATATGCAATATAACTATATTCACGTCTGCAATCCATATACGACGACTACTACTACTGCTACTGCTACTGCTACTGCTACTACTACTACTACTACTACTAATACTACTACTACTACTACTACTACTACTACTAATACTACTACTACTACTACTACTACTACTACTACTACTACTACTACTACTACTACGACTACTACGACTACTACTACGACTACTACGACTACTACGACTACTACGACTACTACGACTACTACGACTACTACGACTACTACGACTACTACTACTACTACTACTACTACTACTACTACTACTACTACTACTACTACTACTACTACTACTACTACTACTACTACTACTACTACTACTACTACTACTACTACTACTACTACTACTACTACTACTACTACTACTACTACTACTACTACTACGACTACGACTACGACTACGACTACCGCTACGACTATCTGCTCCTCCCACTTCTTCCCGTCTCCGCCGTCATCATCATCAACAGCAGCGTCCTCATCATACTCATAAGCGAAAACATCAGTCACGCTCATTCGCAGCAGTAACCCCCACGAAGGCGCTGTCGGCACAGTTCTATACTGCCAGAGCGATGCTTGCATAGATGCCCATGCCGAGTCGCTGGCAGTGTTCGTGACTCACAGTGCGGCCAGCTGTCGCTGCATGTCGCCCCGGCAGAGAGTCTGCAGCCAATAGATGTTGCTGAAGATTTCGGGTTCCAACTCCGCAGTGCCCCTGGTGTGCTCCCTCCGCAGCGCCGGGTGCTCGACGTCGACATACAATGCGACCCTCTCCAGCGAGCCGTGCTCGTAGCGGAGATCGTGCTCGAAAGACTCGTCGAACCAATGGCAACGTCCCTCCTCCGTCATGTTGCGGGCCTCCGCCCCCACCTGCAGCAGATTGGTCGCGTCCCGCGGCACCGCCAGGGCGCACTGCATGCGCAATCGGCCCGGGGCATTGCTCCCGTGCCTGTTGATCACCGTCAGAGGCGGCTCCACGATGGTCAGGCGAGCGCGGAGCATGAGCGTGTAGGGAACCTGCATGAAGACCTTCTCGAGCAGCCTGCACGTCGAGGGGAACAGCTCCATGCGGCACCCAACCCTCGGGTCCTCATTCCAGCCCCCGCTGGACATGATGTGCACCTCCGACCAACTACCCGCAGGCGTTTTTCGCCTTTCCTTGGTGACGTGAAGCGGATTTTCGAGGGCCTCAAGCGCCTCCTTCCGGAATGTCGCCCAACCAGCCTCCAGTCCCGAGCGGATCAACTTCAGCTCGGGGGGCAGCTGATCCTCGTCCAAGAAGCCGTCGCCAAAGGGCAGCATGGCGGGGAAAAAGCTGAGCCGGGGCCGCTGGTGGACGCTGTGCCTTAGGTTGAAGAACACAGACGTTCACACAAAACCTTTTGGATCTGCGCTGGACCCCCTCTTTGGCGCGCGGAGCGCGCCAGAGGCGGCGCTGGAAGCGCCTCCAGGGTAGTTCAGCGCAGATGCCAGAAGTCCGCACGGACCCCCGAAAGTTCTGTGTTTATGCCGTGTTCACTCGATGGAGCGAACCATGCATGACAGGGCTTTCGGGATTCGGCGCAGATCTCTTGAGTCGGCGCTGGTGCGCCTGAGCCGGCGCCAGGGTCAGCGACTGAGCGGCCGCAAGGAGGGGGGCTAAGCTGAGCGGACCTCCAAGAGTCAATGTTCCCAGACATCGAACGCTGTGACTATCTCCAATCTCAAAATTCTAGAATCGTTGCAGGGACGTTGGTGATTTAGCCAGTGTGCAAACACACTGTGAAACATCGTAGTCCCAAATGGTGGTCAGCGATGAAAGGGGGGTCCTCTGTGGACAACCCGTGTGACTGGCAAACCACCACGAAGATCACGAAACGGTAGTTCGGCCCGTTTCCGCAATTTGTAACCGCGCAGGCAGACAACAGTCACCACAATAGCACCGACCATCGACGCGCTCATTCAAACCAATGCGAGGCTCCAGAAATCCACTCCTTGAGTTCTTTAGGTAGGTGGATCTCTCAAGCTCTTCGCCGCCTCTGGCAGTGTGCTTTGCGAGCAAGAGCACAGCAAAGCCACAGGAACACAGCAGAGCCACCAGGTTCCGTGCCCACCAGCGGGGTGTTCCGCCCCACAGCAAAGCCACAGGAACACAACAAGCCACGGAGGTGTTCCGTGCCCACCAAGGGTGTCCGTGCCCACCAGTGGCAGGAGCAGACTTCGCTCCCCCGTGCCCCCCCCCTCCCCTGTCGGCGGTGGACAAAACTCCCCAGTAAACCTCCCTGAAGTGAAAACGGCCTAGGACCGAACCAGACGGACCTGGACCCGCAAAAATGACGCCCGCGACGCCCTTTCGCAACCGAAAACGGCAAATTCGCTAAATCGACGTGTCAGGGTAGGAGGTCTATCAACCTCCGACCCTGTGCGAAGGTGCGGAATTTGCAGAAATACGTCGAACGTCCTAAGAAGCATATCGGGAACACCTCCGTCCCCACCAGCCCCTCCTTTGACTCGCGACGATCGGCAAACTCCTCCGCGGCCACAGGACGTACGATTCAAAGCTTCGGAGGAGATCCCCGAGATGGGCGGCGACCTGTCAGGGCCCAAATCCGCCAAAAACTCGGAACACTCGCCCTGTGGCTGCAAGAGCTGCGCCGTGGAGCTTCCTTCGGAACTCCCGAGACTCGCGCGGCGGCCTCTCGGGGCCTTGCTCCGCCGAGACCGGGGAACTTGGGGAAACCAAGAGGCACCAGTACCGCTACCTCCCCAGACCTCTCCCGGGTTGCGCTCCGACCAGAGCTTCGAGGCGCATCCAGCGGTGGCGACGAGGGCCGCCCAGGAGGCCCAACCAAGGGGAGCACGAGGCAAGGGTGGAGATATATGCGTCTGGGAACTCACCCGTGGCGCCAACATTAGGTCGGGCATGTCCCTCTACAGGCGGATGTTGGGCGACAGCTGCAAAAGACTTCCAGAAATGCCACCCAAAAGTCAACACATGGTAGAAACATAACCCCCAGACTATTTCTTTACTATTTTTGAATCTTCCTCCTGTAGACGGACAGGCCCGGGGGCGAGAGGCCGCGGGGGCGTTCTCTCCGCGCCTTGCGCGGCGGCCGCCCAGGGCTCACCGAGGTCCCCACCTTCGCACCAAGAGTCATAGTTCTGGGCGGCTTGGCCGGGTCCGTCTGCCGAAAAGACACCCTTTGCACCTATACTGTTTCTGGCCCTCCCAACTGAGGCTTAGGTCGGGCGTGTCCCCCTACAGGCGTACTTTGGGGGGCGAGAATTAAACACATTCCCCAACAATCGTCAAACATACCTACCAATAGTCAAAACATCGTCCCCAGACTATCGTTTGTAATAGTTTTGAATGTTCCTCCTGTAGAGAAGACACGCCCGACTTCAACTTAGGTCCCCTCCCAAAGGACTAGGGGGTCTTTGATGGCTACGATGCTGCGGGGGGCGTTCTCCGAGCGTCGCGCGGCGGCCGCCCAGGGCTCACTGAAGTTCCCGTCTTTGCATCAAGAATCATAATTCTGGGCGGCCTGGCCGGATCCGTCTGCCCAGACGACGCCCTCTACACCTATACTGTTTCTGGCCCTCCCAACTTAGGTTTAGGTCGGGTGTGCCCCCCTACAGGCGGATTTTGGACGAAAACGGAAAGATACCCACCAATAGTCAAAACATCGTCCCAAGACTATAGTTTGACTATCTTTGAATACTCCTCCTGTAGAGGGACACGCCCGTCTTACACTTGGGTCCCCTCCCAAAGGGCTAGGGGCTCTCTGATGGCTGCGAGGCCGCGGGGGGGCGTTCTCCGAGCGTCTTCGGGTGACCCAAAAGGGGGTCCAGCTGAAAGGGGGTGGTGCAAGAGATTTGGGGCAATTGTATTGCAAATGCCTTGCTCCGGAGAATCGTATTGCATTGTCTTGCAAACAATGTAGCGCACACGAGGATAGAATGCAGCAGTGCACTTGCGCCCTGGAATGTATGGCACGCCCTCCATGCATTGCAACCCCACAAATGTATTGCACCAGCTCTGTTGCATCACCCCCTTGTCGCTGGACCCCCTGTGGCGTCAGCCAGAGCGCCGCGCGGCGCCCGCACACGATGATAGAATGCAGCAGTGCACTTGCGCCCTGGAATTGATGGCACGCCCCACATGCGTTGCAACCCCACAAATTTATTGCACCAGCTCTGTTGAATCACCCCCTTGTCGCTGGACCCCCTGTTGCGTCAGCCCGAGCGCCGCGCGGCGCCCGCCCGGGGCTCCGACGGTCGCCCCTCTCTCGGGGCGCCTCCTCCGCGGCACGGAGCCTCCACGGCCTTCGGGCTGCGGAGGCGCTGCCACGAGCCTCTGGGCATTCCCGGCCGCCTGCTCCTCCTGAGGAGCCAGCGCTTTCCACCGCCACGACCACAGACAGGCCCGGCGAGAAGGGAGGCTGGGGAGGTCCTCCTCCTCCTCCTCCTCCTCCTCCTCCTCCTCTTTCTCCCTTCTTGCTTCCTCTCCTGCCTGTGGTGGTGGTGGTGGTGCATCGGCCCATCACCCCTGGCCCCCCTCCGCGGATCCCAACACAGGCCGGCCAAATTCGGAGAGTCCCTCCGCGGCCGCGAGGCATGCCGCGGAAGAGTCTGCCAACCTGCGGGCGGCGGCCTCTCGGGGCTCGGCTTCGCCAACTTCGGGGCGCTCCAAAGAGCAGCCGCGGGGGTGTCGGGAAACTCCGCTGCGGCGCGAAGCCGCAAGTGGGGAGGCCACAGGGGGGGGGTCCCGACATTGACGCCTCCTGGCCACGAGAGGCCGCCACCAGAATCTCAAGGAAACTCCCGCTAGGCATGCGCTCGTATGCTGTAGGACCGTGGGGGAGATTCCCGAGATTGGCGGGTCCGTGCCCAGAGTGTCCTGGGAAACTCATCCGGGGCTCTTCTACATCGTGAGATTGAAGGCAGTGGAAGAGTTTCCCAATCACTCGGTGGGGGAATGTCCTCTCAGGCCTCGTCTGGGGGAGCTGCGACGTTTCCGAACATTGCTTGACGCCGATTTCAGACGCCTCCGAGCATTAACACTGACGTATCAAAACAACAAGTGAATTTCCCGAAATTTGCATGCGGAGTCCCGCCGAATTTTGGGAAACTCCGTTGTGGCTCAAAAACTATAATTTCAACCGTCCCCGAGGCGTTGCCCGAAACTGGCTGGAAGCAACCAATATCAAGAAACGCATGTGCGCACCCACCCCATTCCCCTTCCCCTGCGGTAACTGGCTTGTCGACCCAAGAAAATGCACGCCCAGATCGAAACAGCCGTGGCCGGTTCCAGAAACCCTGAACCCAACAATGCTGTCATCTCTCGGGATGCCGACTTTTGCTTCCGCCGGCTCCCGCCGCCCTCTTTATGCTTCCGCCCCTCCGCTGCCCTTCCGCCGCGGAAAAAAATCGGCAACGCCTTCGCTCCTCGAAGGCAGGGCCACATTTGGAACGCTCTCCGCATGCTCTCGGAGCTCCTGGGCTCCGCATGTTTGTCCTGTCCCGCGAGTGCCAGAGGCCGCGGTCCACCGCGCTCTCGAAGACCTGCGAGAGCAAGTCATCGCGGGCCCCAAAAATTCACCACCACCTCCACCACCTCCATTCCGCCTCCCTCCTCTGCCCTCCCCCTCCCCTCCTCTTTCCTGGGAGAGGGATCAGATAGGGGAGTTGGTGATGGTGTATTTTTGTTGGCCCCATACCCACGGAAACTGTGGGTCGTTCCCATGTCGCCCAATAGCGCGCCCAATCGCGTGCAGAGCGGACGTGAGACAATTCCGTCACATGGCGCTCTTGGGCGCTATTGCTCGCCATTGGGTGCTACTTGTACGCTATTCGGCACGACTGATGCCGCTAAACTCCGATTCAATCCGAGACGAACGAAGCTTCCGTGATTTACGGTGTGGAGAAACCACAAGGTACCGATACTGCTACTCCCCAGACCTCTCACGGAGTGCGGCCTGACCAGAATTTCGAAGCGAATGCAGCGGTGGAGACGACAGCCTCCCACGAAGCCCTAGAAGGCGAAAACGAGGAACGGGTAGCGGTATCGGAATGTCCCTCCTCTGAGAAACCGGCTTTTAAAGCATTTGCCGCTGCCCTCCGCACAAGAATTTCGGCACGCCATTCACAAGCTTCGTGGCCCCATAGGGCGCTGGACCGAGGGCGTCCATGGTGAGTTCGTTTGCGTCCGCCCGACGCATTTCAGCACACCCAAGCTTAATCGCGGCGTAAGGGAGCTCCTCCGAGAGCACCCGCGGTGAGTTCGCATGCGCCCACCCGACCAACTTCGGTACACCCCTCACACGCTTCGCTGCTCCATCAGGAGCTCCACCGAGACCCTCCTTGGTTAGATCGCGTGCGCCCACCCGACCCATTTCGGCACAATCCTCGCACATTTCTTTCGTGGCCTCATAGGGGGCTTCACCGAAAGCCTCCGTGGTGAGTTCGCATGCGCCAGCCCGACCAATTTCGGCACACCTCTCGGACGTTTCGTGGCACCATGGGGAGCTACACCGAGGGCCTCCGTGGTGAGTTCGCATGCGTCCGCCCGGCCCGTTTCGGCATGTCCCTCACACGCTTCGTGGTCCCATAGGGAGCTCCACCATAGGCCTCCGCGGTGTGTTCGCATGAGTCCGCCTGGCCCATATCGGAACGCCCCTCGCACGGCTCGTGGCCCCAGAGGGAGCTCCGCCGAAGGCCGCCGCGGTGAGTTCGCATGAGTCCGACCGACACATTTCGGCACGCATCTCACACGCTTCATGGTCGCACAGGGAGCTCCACCGAGGGCATACGTGGTGAGTTCGCATGCGTCCGCCCGACCCGTTTCGGCACACTCCTCACACGTTTCATGGCCCCATAAGGAGCTCCTCCAATGGCCTCCGTGATGAGCTCGCGTGCGTCCGCGGGGCTCATGTCGGCCCACCCTTTTTCACATCTCGTGGCCCCACAGGGAGCTCAATCGAGTGCCTCTGTGGTGAGATTGCATGCGTCCGCCCGACCCATGTCGGTGCACCCCATCACACGCTTCGTGGCCGCATAGGGAGCTCCACCGAGGGCGTACGTGGTGAGTTCGCATGCGTCCGCCCAACCCATGTCGGCACTCCCCTCGCACGTTTATACCGTGGCCCCATAGGGAGCTCCACCGAATGCCTCTTAGGTGTGTTCGCAGACGCCCGTCCGACCCATTTCGGCACACCACGCACACATTTCGTGGCCCAATCGGGCGTTCCACCGAGGGCCTCCGAGGTGAGGTCGCATGCGCCCGCCCGACCCATTTCGGTCCCTCCACGCGTTTGGTGGCCGCACAGGGAGCTAGCTCCACCGAAGGCCTCCGTGATGGGTTTGCGTTAACCTGCCCGACCCATTTCGGCACACGCTTCGCACTTGTTGTGGCCCCAGAAGAGGAGCTCCACCGAAGGCCTCCCTGGTAAGTACGCATGCATCCGCCCGACACATTTCGGCACACCCCTTTTCCCACGCTTCGTGGCCACATAGGGCGCTCCACCGAAAACATCCGTGGTGGGTTTACATGCGTATGGTCAGCCCATTTCGATACTCCCCTCCCACGTTCATTTCGTTGCCCCGTAGGGAGTTCCGTGGTGAGTTCGCATGCGTCCGCCCGACGCATGTGGGCACTCGCCCTCCCCCTCGTACGTGTCGTGGCCCAATATGGGGGCTCCACCGAAGGCCTCCGTTGTGAGTTCGCACGCGTCCACCCGATCCATTGAAGTTCACCTCCCACACGCTCCGTGGCTTCATAGGGAGCTGCACCGAGAGCCCCAGCGGAGAGTTCAACTGCGTCCACCCGACCCATTTCGGCACTCTCGTCAGATGTTTTTTTTCCGTGGCCCCAGAAAGAGAGCTTCTCCGAAGGCCTCCGTGGTGAGTTCGCATGCGTCCGCCCGACACGTTGCGCCACACCCCTCACACAATTCGTGGGCCCATTGGGAGCTCCACCGAACGCCTCCGCGGTGAGTTCGCATGCGTCCGCCCGACCCATTTCGGCACACCCCTTTTCCCACGCTTCGTGGCCACATAGGGCGATCCACCGAAAACATCCGTGGTGGGTTTACATGCGTATGGTCAGCCCATTTCGATACTCCCCTCCCACGTTCATTTCGTTGCCCCGTAGGGAGTTCCGTGGTGAGTTCGCATGCGTCCGCCCGACGCATGTGGGCACTCGCCCTCCCCCTCGTACGTGTCGTGGCCCAATATGGGGGCTCCACCGAAGGCCTCCGTTGTGAGTTCGCACGCGTCCACCCGATCCATTGAAGTTCACCTCCCACACGCTCCGTGGCTTCATAGGGAGCTGCACCGAGAGCCCCAGCGGAGAGTTCAACTGCGTCCACCCGACCCATTTCGGCACTCTCGTCAGATGTTTTTTTTCCGTGGCCCCAGAAGGAGAGCTTCTCCGAAGGCCTCCGTGGTGAGTTCGCATGCGTCCGCCCGACACGTTGCGCCACACCCCTCACACAATTCGTGGGCCCATTGGGAGCTCCACCGAACGCCTCCGCGGTGAGTTCGCATGCGTCCGCCCGACCCATTTCAGAACACCCCTCGCACGATTCGTGGCCGCATAGGCAGCTCCACCGGAGGCCTCCGTGGTGGGTTCGCATTCGTCCGCCCGTTTATGTCCGCACACCCCTTTCACGTTGCGTGGCGCAATAATATGGAGACCCGGGGCCTTACTGGTGAATTTACGCGCGCCCGCCCAACAACTGTCGGCACACCCCTCACACGCTGCGTGGCCGCACAGGGAGCTTCACCGAGGGACTCCGCGGTGAGTTCGCATGCGTCCGCCCGACAAACTTCGGCACACCCCTCACCCGTTTTGTGGCCCATAGGGAGCTCCACCGAGAGCCTCGGTGGTGAATTCGCATGCGTCCGCTCGATATATTTCGGCACACCCCTCATGCGTTTCGTGGCCCCATACGGAAGCTCCACCGAAGCCCTCCGTGGCGAGTTCGTATGCGTCCGCCCGACCCATTCCGGTATATCCCTCACACGTTGCGTGGCTCGCCCGACCCATTCCGGTATATCCCTCGTTCACCCGTCCTTGTATCCCTCCTCTCGCTGCCCAAATTCCCTTCGCCCCCTGTCAGTTGTTCCGTGACTGCCCTCAACTGCCAGGTCCCATAATGGTTATGGAATTTGCGGGTCGACCCTCCTGCACCGTTCCCAACCCCTGCTGCCCGCACTGCCCCGCGCCTCGTCCTTCCCGCGGCGCGCTGCCTATGAGAGGAACGGCTGTACCGTGCGCTATTCGGAGCTTGCGTACCCCCCTCCTTCGTCTCACCTCCCTCGCGGCACTCGCAGCTGCAAATGGTTGGGTCCCTCGCCAGTCTAACTTGATTGTTGGGGTGGCTGTTTTGCGTGGCGAAGGACCCAACCATATACAGTTGTGAGCATCGTCGCTCATGCGCCGTATTCGGAGGAGCTCCGTATTGGGCCACGAAACGTGTGAGAGGTCTGCCACAATTGGCGTGGTGGGCGCGTGCGAACGCAGCCACTGGGGACGGTGGATCTCCCTATGCGGCCATGAAACGTCTGAGGGGAACACCACAAAGGGTGCGGTGGGCGCATGCCAACGCAGCCACTGGGGCCCTCGGTGGAGCTCCCTGTGGGGCCACGAAATGAGCGAGTCGTGTGCCAAAAGGGGGGCGGCGGGCGTGTGCGAACGCAGCCACTGGGGCCGTCGGTGGAGCTCCCTATGGGTCCACGAAGCGCGTGAGGAGTGTGCCAAAATGGGTGCAGTGTGCGCATGCGAACGCAGCCACCGGGGCCGTCGGTGGAGCTCCCTAAATAGGTGTGTGCTAAAGTTGGTGCGGTGGGCGTAGGCGAACGCAGCCACTGGGGCCGTCGGTGAAGCTCCCTATGCGGCCACGAGACATGTGAGTGGTGTGCCAAAATGGGTGCTGCAGGCGCATGCGAACGCAGCCACTGGGGCTGTCGGTGGAGCTCCCTATGGGGCCACGAAGCGTGTGAGAGGTGTACCAAAAAGGGTGCGGTGGGCGCGTGCGAACGCTGGCATTTGGGCCTTCGGTGGAGCTCCCTCTGGGGCCACGAAGAGTGTGAAAGGTGTGGCGAAACAGAGGCATGCAGATGGCAGAGGTAAGGGTGGTAGGAGGGAGGAGGGGCAGGAGGAAGGAGTGAGTGACGCGGGGCGCTGTCCTTTCAAAGCGAGGACCCAACACCACAGGATGATTTGGAAAAACTGTCTCGCATCTGACAGACCTCCTCGGATTCCGACGTCAGCCCAGCCCTGAGCAGCACCTCGCCCACGTGGCCCGCCGTCTGCCGGCTCCTCGGCGCAGCGAGCACCGCCGCGCTCAGGCGGGCCCGGGCCTCATCGAGGGCGCCCCTTCGGAGCAGGAGAGAACCCAGCGCGAGGTCGGCCTCGCGGAGGGGCCCGTGGTTGTCCAGGAGCTCGTGGAATGGCAGAGGGCGGCAGTAAACGGGCCCATGAGGCCACAAACAAATCTGCACAAGCTCAAACATTTCCAGATCGTTGCCCAATTTCCTGGATCTTCCTCTCCCCCTCCGCTCCCGACATCGTCATTCACGTTTACAACATCAGAGTTTGTGGATGTGTGTGTGTGTGTGTGCTGATGTTTACCTTCTGCGGCAGACCCAGGTCTCCGACGATATGGTTCTCCAATCCGGGCGTCTTCCCTCGGCTTCGGCCCCTGGGGCCCGTGCTTCGGCCGTTAGGGTTTTTTTTTAACGGTTCTCCCGGAAGAGACAACCCGCACGGGGAAGAGGTCTTTCGGGCCAGATACGGGACAACTTGTTTTTGGTCGGCGGCGAGGCAGAGGCAGCCCGCACCAGCGTGAGGCGAATCGGGGCAACCGAAAGGCGAATTGTCTGGCGTGCAAGAGTAGAGCACGGAAAAACACTTCATCCTCGGATGCCCGGGGAGGCACGAACTTTCGGGAGGTCCGCGTGGATTTCTCGGGTCGGCGCCAGACCCCCCTGCCCCGACGCGCAGCGCAAGTGGCGCCGCCGGCGGACGGCGTCCAGCGCTGGCCCAAGCAAATCCGTGCTCGTGCTGCCGTCTGCCTTCCGGACTTGGCCAGGAGTTGCTCCACATAGATCTGGCTGCCCGTGCACCCGTCGAAGTCCCACCTAGGGAAGTTCCCGCAGTTCTGTGAGAACAGCAGCAGGAGCGCCTGTCCTCCTCCTCTTCCTCCTCCTCCTCCTCCTCCTCCTCCTCCTCCCTCCTCCCTCCTCCCTCCTCCCTCCTCCCTCCTCCCTCCTCCCTCCTCCCTCCTCCGTCCTCCGTCCTCCCTCCTCCCTCCTCCCTCCTCCCTCCTCCCTCCTCTCCCTCCTCCCTCCTCCCTCCTCCCTCCTCCTCCTCCCCCTCCTCCTCCCCTCCTCCCCCCCTCCCTCCCCCCTCCCTCCTCCTCCTCCTCCCTCCTCGTCCTCCTCCTCCTCCTCTTCCTCCTCGTCCTCCTCCTCCTCTTCCTCCTCCTCCTCCTCCTCCTCCTCCTCCCTCCTCCTCCTCCTCCTCCTCCTCCTCCTCCTCCTCCCCCTTCCCCCCTCCCCTTCCCCTCCCCCTACTGCTCCTGCTCCTGCTCCTCCTCCGCCTCCCCTCCTCCTCCTCCTCCTCCTCCTCCTCCACCCTCCTCCCTCCTCCATCCTCCCTCCTCCCTCATCCCTCCTCCCTCCTCCTCCTCCCTCCTCTCCTCCCTCCTCCCTCCTCCCTCCCCCTCCTCCCTCCTCCCTCCCCCTCCTGCCTCCTCCCTCCTCCCTCTCCTCCCTCCTGCCTCCTCCTCCTGCCTCCTCCCTCCTGCCTCCCTCCCTCCTCCTCCCCCTCCTCCCTCCTACCCTCCCTCCTCCTCCTCCCTCCTCCCTCCTTCTCCTCTCCTTCTCCTCCTCTCCTCCTCCTCCCTCCTCCTTCTCCTCCTCCTCTCCTCCTCCTCCTCCTCCTCCTCCTCCTCCTCCTCCTCCTCATCCACCTCCTCCTCCTCCTCCTCCTCCTCCTCCTCCTCCTCCTCCTCCACCTCCTCCTCCCCTCCTCCTCCTCCTCCTCCTCCTCCTCCTCCTCCTCTCCTCTCCTCATCCTCCTCCTCCTCCTCCTCCTCCTCCTCCTCCTCCTCCTCCTCCTCCTCCTCCTCCTCCTCCTCCTCCTCCTCCTCCCCTCCTCTCCTCCTCTCCTCCTCTCCTCCTCTCCTCCTCCTCCTCCTCCTCCTCCTCCTCCTCCTCCTCCTTCTCCTCCTCCTCCTCCTCCTCCTCCTCCTCCGCCTCCTTCTTCCTCCTCCCTCAGCGGAAGGAGCGCCTGCGGCTGCACGGGGTCCAGCCGCAGGGCCTCCTGCAGCGGCGCCAGGAAGTCGAAGGTGCCCTGCAGCTGCGAGAAGCTGAGCACATACCTGAGCACCGCGAGCCTCGCGTGCGCCCAGGCGGTCGACTCCCTGTCGGCCGCGGCCTGGAGCCTTCGGAGCTCTTCCTGCAGCACGTCCATGTGGGCAGTCCAGAGGTGCCCGGCGACCTCGAACCTAGGGTGACAAGCAACGGCATGAGAAAATAAGCTGCCCTGAGCAGCACGCCAGAACGCCAGGGGCGGCGCCAGAGAGGCGCCGCCACGGGGTGGCCCAGCGCCGAGTCACAAAAATCAGCGCCGACCTCCGAAGATTTATGTTTATGTCGGTTGCTCTTCTTCGAGAACCGTCGGTGGGTCAGGTCGTGGCTCGTGAAGTTGCACCGTGGCCCCCAGCCTCCGATGCGGGGCTCGTGCGGCAGCGGCACCTGAGCGACGACAGAAATCGGACCTGACACGAGAAGATACAGCGAGCTTACGCCGCGGCTTACGCGGCCCGTCAGCGTGGCACACCGCATGGAGCAGAGGGCGCTCACGCGCGGCATCACGCGAGCAGCTTACGCGCGAGTGTCGGAGCGCGAGTGTCGGCGGAGCCGCCCAGCTGGGGACGAAGTAGATGGGGTCGGAGGATCGCGCCGCATCGCCGATGCATCGCCGGTGCACTGGCGACATCGGTGATGCATCGGCGCCGTCGGCGTGGAGGAAATCGGGACCCGCATCGCGCCGCATCGCCGTTGCATCGGCGACGCGGCGCGATCCTCCGAGCCCATCTGCTCGGACCCCGTCTGGGAGGCCTAGGCCACCTGGCGCTCCAGAACGGTGAGGCCGCTGCCCGTGCTGAAGTGGTGCGAGACGCGCCACTCCGGGCGCAGGGCGAGGAACTCCTCCATCGCCGCCCACAGTCCTCCTCGGACCTCCGAGGCCGACACCCCCAGCCTCGCCGCACCCTCGCCGCACGCCTCGTGCGCGGGGAGCCCCCGGCGGCCCGCGCGCACGCACTCGCCCCGTCGGCCGTCGGTCTGCGTGCCGTGGATGGCGATGAAACGGCGCGCGTGGCGCGCGTGGAGGCGCAGCTCGGCGCGGAGCTGCGCGTACGCACGGAATGTGTCGAGGAAGAGGAGGTCCACGTCGCCGCCGAGGCCGGTGGTCAGGGTGTCCCCCTGCAGGAACTTGTAGTCGATCCCCAGGCTGCTCGCCACGCGGCCCGCCTCCGCGGCGTGCTGGAAGGGAACCGCGCCCACGGCAAAGTGCCACTTCGGCTCCTCGGGACCCGCGATCGAGGAGTCCGCGAGGCCCTGCAACAGAGGCCAGGTGGAGAGGACGCTCCGCAGGCCAACCTCTGCCACCGAGTGGCACTGGGCCGCGAGCATGCGCAGCGTGGACGCGTGGCGGTTGCTGTCCGACTCGTGGTGCTCAGACCGCTCAAAGCGGTCATAGAGATAACGGCTGGCAGCAGCCCTTCCCCCAGGCCAACCGCCGAGGCCTGCAGGCGCCTCGCCCGCGCCAGACCCTCCGTGCGCGAGCAGGGCTGGGACAAGCGCCACGACGCAAGCGAGGCCCATGCCCCCCGACGCGCTCCGAGAGGGCAGCGGCGCACTGCCCCGGCGCAGACCTTCAGACCGGCCTCTGGCCGCGGCCCGGTCCAGGGGTCAGCGGGCGGGACCCAGGAGCGACGCTCGCGGGCCCGACGAGGGCGACCTGCGGGGCGGGGTCGGCCCGGCGCCCGCCATCGGGGCCTGCAGGGAGCGCGCGGCCGAGGCGGCTGCGGGCGGGCCTTGCAGCATAAGCTCGCGAACGGGCCGGTGCGCGGACGTCGGCGCTGGCCGTGGGCCTGCGCCTGGGCCCTCTCGCGCGCCTGCCGTGCCTCTCCTGCGCGTCCTCCTCCACGCCTTGAAAATCTCTGGGGCCTTCGGGGGCCGTTTACGGGCCTTGCGGGGTCTGTTGGGGCCAGTTGGGGCCTCTTGGAGCCTGCTGGCGGTCTCAGGGGATCTCGTGGGCCGTCTCGAGGCCCTCTGGAGGTGCTCAGGGGGCCCTCTACGGCGCCTTCTGGGCCGCCGTGGGGTTCTCTTGGGCTGTCTCGGGGCCCTCTACGGGGCCTCTTCGGCTGGTCGGCGCGAAAAGGCCCCGAAGTGGCCCAGGAAGAAAGCCAATGACAAATAAAGAAAGGCTCCAAGACTGGCGTCAAAACGGCTCCAGGAAGTACTCCAAAGTGACCGAACATATCCCATGACGAGCGACAACACGGACCTCCTTCTCCTCTCCCTCCTCCTCCTCCTCCTCCTCCTCCTCCTCCTCCTCCTCCTCCTCACGACGGCGTAAGTTCAGCTCACGTTCCCTATTGTCCGGCGAACAGTCAGTTGCATGGGGAGTTCTGCGTCTCAGCGATGGCAGGAGCCGACATCAAAGGATAAAATAAGAGCGTCACTACGAGCGCGTGCCTGCCACACGCCAGGTATCCGTGCGGCAACTGTTCTGACACCCCTCCTCATCCTCTTCCTCGTCCTCCTGATCCTCCTCGTCGTCTAAAACCAGCTCGCAATCCTCATGGTCGGACGAGAAATCTGTCACATTGGGGCTTCTGCGTCTCAAGTGATAGGAAGAGCCGGCATCGAAGGATGAAACAACAACGTCGCTACGAACGCGTGGCCGCCACAAGCCACTTAGCCTTGTGGTAACTTCTCTGACGCCACTCTAGATCCTCGTTCTCGTGTTCCTGATCCTCCTCCTCCTCCTGGACCTCATCCTCCTCCTTTTCCTTCTCCTCCTCCTCTCAAGCCACCTGGGCCCAAACCATTTTGGCAGGTCACCAGGTCTCGACCCCGCTAAGAGGAGGCTTGAGGGGCAGGTCGTCGCCCTCTTCACTCCAGATCTGTTCCTTTTCAGTCTGTTTGTGAGGTGGTAGATCGATCTGGCTAAGATCGAGATGTATCAGCATTGGTCGAAGTGCAAGGCATGCGGTCGCGATGAATACAATCACGTCCTTCTGCAGCACGACAGACGGTGCCGATGCGGGAGGCAGGCGATGCTCTACAAGCCGCAGACGTCCAAGGGCGGGAATCTCGGAGACCCGCAGCAACTGCAGCTCAGCGTCGCGAAGACCACACAGCTGGCGACCGACGGGGGGGCCAAGGGGCAAGACGAGATCTCGCTCATGGAGAAGACTCTGACGGCCACGACGGACCCCCTCCTAAGGAAGCTTCTCACCGACGAACTGCAGAAGAAGCGCGGGGCTCTCCGCCCCATGTTGTCTCCTGAGGACCTGATCAAGTATGCCTCAAGAGCCTGGAAAGATGCGACGGTTCGGCACGATCAAGCAACGCAGGCAGTTCTCAAAACACGCGAAAACGTAGAGAAGGCACATGCCAAGGAGAGGGAGACGTCGCTCATCCTTACCCGCGCAGAGGAGGCGAATAAGGTGGCGGCGACCTCCCTAGCCACGCATATGGGCGTGGCGCAGGCAGCGCCTGAGGCCACGCCGCCCGATAAGGTGTTTTTTCAAGCTTGACGTAGACGATGCCTTCTTCCAGGGGCTCGACTCGCTGGAACTGGTAGGCAACGAGAAGGAGAAACTGAAGGAGCTGGAGGCGCAGCTCCGCGAGACCAGGTCGTTGGTAGACGGCAAGCATGCGGAAGTGAAGGAGTGGCAAGCGCGCACCGCCGAGCTCAAGAAGGCGATCACGGAAAGGATGGCCAAGAAGAGGAAGGGCACCGACGGTGGCGCAGCCGCAGGCCAGGCGTCGCCGCAGGGGCGGGCCCAGGAGGCGGCGCCTAGCGCTGCTGCCCCGTCGGCGCCCGCCGAGTCGTCCGAGGATCCGCAGAATAAGCCCGAGGGGGCGGCCAACCGCGTCTCCGAGGCCGAGCTGGCGGCGGATAAGGCAGCCCGCGAGGCGGCCAAGGACGAGGCAGCCGCGGCGGCGGCCGCGGGTGCAGCGCGGAAGAAGTGAGACCAGCAGCCGAGGAGCGAGGCCCCGCCGAGTCCGTCGACTGGCACGGCTGCGCTGCCATCGGCTGCTCCAGAGGCCGACGTGCTGTCGACCAGGGGTGAGGCCCGTGACTGTTCCGTGTTCTTCGCCAACATCACTGTTGCGGGGCCGAGGGCGTGGGGCAACATTGTCCCAGATCAGCATCCCGAGTTTAACTGTTTCCAGATCGTGGAGCCCCGCGTCGACTCCAAGGGCGTGGCCGAGTGGCAGAAGAAGGCCCGTCAGGTAGCTGAGGCTGTCGGGCAACCCAGCTCGCCCAAATGGCTTGCCAGTTCAAGCAGGTTTCGCGCGCCGCTCCAACGAGGGTGGTGAGTGGATGCTTGCTCAAGGTCATCGCAGTATTTCGACGTTGGCTAGTTCTTTGGCGCAGCTGCCGCGCCTGGTCAGTCAATTGTTGATTGTTTTCAGTCGACTGTAGTGGACATGAAAGGCTTCTCTTTCGTGGCGAAGAGCTTCTGCGGTTTCCCGGGAGAGGGCAAGTCAGCTCGCGACCTGCAGCGCTTCTCCAAGCTTGGGGCGTTGCTCCGAAGTCTACAGTTACCTTGGATAGAGCTCGCCGCATGGAACATGGCGCCTGAGCACATTCCGAGGCAAGGTTTCGTTTCGAAGATTGACGGCGCCCTTCCCTCGGCAGCTAAAACTAGAGCTATTTGCACAGCCAGCAGCACAAGTGTTGGCACCGAACGAGATTTTGCGCTAGTCAGTGTCAATGTCGTACTTTATGTGAGCGATCCCGTTGCAGCCACTGACGTGCCATCGAAACCGCGCTGCGGTCTTCTTCTGAGGTTCCGTGGCCAAGGATCTCAGCTGCTCGCGAGATCCCTGGAGCCCCCGTCTAAGTTGCCCCAGGTCCCTCGCCCATCCCCCCCCCCTCCCCTGGCTCCAAGTCTGCCATTGTGCAAAAAAAAGCAAGCGTTAGAATAGAGTGTGCGCGGGGTTCGGTCCGCGCGGCGCGTGAGCAACTTTTCGGGGATGCGGCGGGGGGCCCTGGATCTGAGCCCCCCGGCGAGACAGGCTCGCAGGATTCTGGCGAGGGGCCGCCCTCCACCCGGCCCGCCGTTGCCTCAGTCGCCCAAAGAAGCGGCCCCGACGAGGGCCCGTCTGTCGACTCGTGTAAGAATTGGACCTTCTAGTTTTTCCGGACGAGGAGGAGGGCCCATGGGCCAGCAAGGGAAACTCTGGGGCGCGTGACAGAGCTGCGGAGCCTTCCACGTCTGAGAGTCTGGGCTCTGGAGTGCCCCCAGATGAAGTAGGGCTGTCACAGCAGCCTGGTAGTTCGAGAGCTGGCAAGCTATGCTGGCGCTGCTGCTGATCCGCCCCCAACTTTCCTCATCCCGTCCTCATCTTGGCTCAAGCATCGTTCGGATGTTGGCTCCGTCTCAGCATCCCGCCTGGCGTGCGGTCAGGGACCCCCTTGCTGTCCGCGCGGGAGCGCAGCGCATCGATGCTCTCAGCGGGAGATGCGCAGCATGGGTGTCGGCAGTCGAATTGACCATCAAGAGTCACCATAGGCAAGACATACGAGGCCCTCGCAGAGGAAACGGGGTATCTTTTGTTGTGCGTGTATTTCGCATGCCTGAGAAGTCACGCGCGGCGCCGCTAATGGACCAGGCTACGTCGTGGCGGGGTCGCGCCACCACCATCCTAAAGGGGGCGCTCAAGCAAGTCGAGCGCCGAAGCGGGGCCAAGCAGCGCATCGCAGTTGTCGGAGCATGCAGTCGCCTCACCACGGATTACCCGACGACGGCGCATCTTTTTCTCTCGGAGAAGTGGGGGTGGCAGGCTTGGGTCAGCCTGCTGGCGAGGCCGATGGAGGTACCCGCCCCGCAGCTCAATGCCATGATCGATGTGGCTACTCGGGCCACCAACAGGGCCAGGGGGGAAGGCATTGCGTACGTCGTTGCAGGAGCTTCGCCCTTGGATGGCATCACTGGAAGCCTTACCGATCTTACATAAGCCCATCAAGTCGCCACCACCACCGGTGGAGAAGCTAGTGCTCAAAGGCGAAGTAGCGCATCACCCTGTGGACATCATCGATCGGAAAGTCACCCGCTGGCATGCGTTATGGAGCAGCGGCGCCGGCTTCGACGGACAGGGGCTCTTCCAGGTCCTGGACGAGGTGCGAGCCGAGGCTGAGCTGCAGGCCCTTCCACCTCTGTCGAGGGACATGCTACGTGAGGCGGCCCACTCCATGAGGCCCCGAGCGGGCCAAGGGGTGGACCGTCCATCCTCATGGGATATCGAATGGCGGCCTCCTGAAGGATTGGGCGAGTTAGCACAACTTCCGAATGATGCTGAAGCTTGTCTGACTTGGCCATGGCAGCTGCTTCTGACCATCGGCCGCATGCTGAAGAAGAAAGCAAGAGGATATCGTATCATCGGGCTCGTGGGCACGATCCCTCGAGTGCGGTCGGAGTTGAGAGAGCCGTGGATCCAAACCTGGTCTGCAGACCCTCAACCTTTGTTCTGGGGCGCTGCAGTTTCAAGCAACGCCGCGCTTCGTGAAGGGTCCACGGGGGCCCTGGGAGACGACGTGCACAGCCTGCTCGGCATCGGTTTCTCTAACAGGTTGGTTGCCATCCCGAGTTTTTACGACAGTATAGCTTGGATAAGATCGGCCTCCAAGGCCCTCGCCTTGGGCTTTCCACCAGCAGTGCTGTATCTAGAGCTTCCACTTTGTCTCGCTGCTCGCACCTTGGCCCCCCGTGATTGTTTCTCGGGGGCTTTGCAGCCGAGGAGCGCTTTTTAAGGGTTGCGCAGCGGTGCGAGGTTCGCTCGTTGCATGACCGACTTCGCCTTCGACCAGATGTCCAGGGGGCATCAGCTGGTCGACATGAGGCCGTGGATCGACGATATTCCTCAATGCGTGGCAGGTTCGCGGCAGGCCATCCGCAAAGCCATGGTCAAAGTATTGCATCAGACGTCGCAGATGCTCGATGCGGGCGGTTTGAAGGTGGCAGCGAAGAGCGTTGGTCGATTGTCGAAGTTTCAGGATGCGAAGTTTATCTCCTCCAGCCTGAAGACCGAAGGAATGTCTGTCGTCCCTGCCTTGCTTGCAGACGGCCTACCTGGGCATTGACGTTGGGGCAGGGCGCCCAGCTCGGGCCACTGCGAGGAAGAGGGTAGTCAGAGCAAGGTCATTTCCTCCAAGATCGTCCGCTTTGCGAGGGCATCGAGGAGACATCGCCCTGCAGTTCGCATCGAGCAGTGCGGGGCGCAACCGGCTGGCCATTATGGACACGAGATGCTGGGCGCGTTTGGTTGCAATCTGTTGGGTACGCGGCGAACGTTTGGGCGCGTGGCGAGTTCAGCTCGCCGCGGCCGCTGCCTCGCGACAGTGCTGGATCTGCGACGATGCCCGAACGTGGGCCCTGGCCCTGGCTCTCCACGAGGCAGTCGGAGCCGAAGCTGCGCGCGGGCATCTCGAGAGCATGGCCAGCTGAAGGGGCTAAATTCTCAGCGCTCCCATCGCAGCAGCGTTCCCGTCACCTGCGAGGGCCTTTGTCAGCACTTGTGACATACCTGTTGCGGCATCGGCGGGCCCCTTTTTTGCCGTCGGAGTGGGGGGCGAGGCCAGCAGGCGAGCTGGACCGCGAAGCCTTCGTCTTCGACCAGCTGGGCCCTGCCGACGACATCTCACCATTAGTTGACGAGTTCGAGCTCACGATCAGAGCTCATTAATGGGCTGGCGCCGCCGGCCATTTTTGTGGCGAGGGCCTCCAGGAGGGGGCCGACAACATGTCCTTCTGTCACTTCTTGCGGGTGCTCGAGGTGGCGGGGGAGGGCCACCAACTGGCAGAGACGATGGCGCGCAGTGCTGCCGGGGGCACTTGGCCACGGCAGCGCATCATGGACGAAGTCGGAGGCATCGACTCAGCGACCTGCCCGAGGTGCGGCGAGGGTGCGGAGACCCCGCTGCATCGCTTGTGGCTCTACAATTGCAATGTCGAGTCTCGTGCATGCGAGCTATCAGCCAACCTGATAACGGAAGCGGTGGCCCAACACGAAGCACGCGCATGTTTTTGGCTTCGTGGGATCACCCCAGGGAATTGGACCAACGTACCCCCGCCTCCCTCAGATCCCGCGTGGCTCCTCAATGGTTTCAATGAGTTAGGTTCCCATGCTCTCGGCCTGGGGCCCCAAGAGAACCCAAACTTTCTTTTTTGGGACGCCAGTGGTGCTAGATGGGTCTGCGCGTGAGCCTCGCCAAGGCCTCGCGAGCAGGACTGCAACCCCCCCCCCTGTGGTCGTGGCCCTGTTGGCGTGGCAGGGGGGGAAGGTGCCAATGCCCGCCCCCTGTCGTTGTCGTCGTCGTCGTCTTCCGTCGGCGTCGTCGTCGTCGTCGTTGCCTTCCGTCGGCGTCGTCGTCGTCGTCTTCGACGTCGTCGTCGTCGCCGTCGTCGTGGTCGTCGTGGTCGTCGTCGTCGTCGTCGTCGTCGTCGTCGTCGTAGTCGTCCCCCCATCCCATCTGTGGGGGGGTCCTGTTGAACCCTGGGTCCCATCCCATCTTCGGGGGGCTGTGGACCCTCGACCCAGGATCACACATATGCAAACAGAGTGGAAGAGTGGGAGAGAGAGAGAGAGAGAGAAAGAGAGAGAGAGAGAGCGAGAGAACACCAACTAATAGAAGAAGACAGGGAGTGAGAGAGACGAGGGAATCAGATGCATACCTCTCCCTATACACATGAATATATAATACACACATCTGCTAGCCAGCGTGGACCCCAAACAGGGAATGCGAGGTGGGGCAGCCACTGTGGTGCAATCTGGGTGGTGCCATGCATGTGGTGCAGTCGATGTGGAACAAAACGATGCAAGGCAATGCAAACACATGCAACTGGAAAGCAACGCAAAGCAATGTCAATCAATGTGAAGCAATGCGAAACAATGCAACGCAATGCAAAGCAACGCGGCGACGAGCGGCGACAAGCGGTCTGGACGCCCATCGGGCCCAGCAACGACGGTGACGACGGCGACGACGGGCGGCGACGAGCCGACCAGACCACCATAGCGCAAAGAGTGAGAAGAAATACGCTAGTGGGTCGAGGGAGACAAAGAGAGTAGTCAGAGAGAGAGAGAGGTGGCAAACATATATGAAGAGAGAGAGAGAGCGAGCGAGAAACTCAGCGAAGAAAGGGACAGAGGGAAACACAAACACACACACACATGCAGACCTCTACGATCACCCTTCGGGTGATGAGGAGCTTGTGGGGGGGGGAGAGGGGGGAACCAACATCTGACTCAATCGATCTCACTATCGATCTCACTCAACGGAACGCCACGGGACACCACGAGCCACCACGGGACACTTGTCGATCTCACTATCGATCTCACTCAACGGGACACTACGGGACACCAAGGGCCACCACGGGACACCTCTCGATCTCACTATTGGTCTCACTATAAATCTCACCATCGATCTGACTCAACGTGACACCATAGGACACCACGGAACACCACGGGACACCTCGGGACACCACATCGATCCCACGATCGATCTCACTATCGATCTCACGATCGATCTCACTCAACGGGACACCACGGGACACCACGGGACATCTGTCGATCTCACGATCGATCTTACTATCGATCTCACTTTTTGGGACACTACGGAACACCACGGGACACCACATCGATCGCAGTATCGATCTCACTATCGATCTCACTATAGACTATCGATCTCACTCAACGTTACACCACGGGACATCACGGGACACCTGTCGATCTCACTATAGATCTCACTTTTTGGGACACCAGGGGACACCACGGGCCACCACGGGACACCGCTAATTAGGGCCACCGCAGGACGGAGGATAATCATTTGTCCTGACTTCGCCCTAGCAACGGCGGACACCACGGGACACCACGGGACACCGCTAGGGCCACCGCCGGACGGAGGATAATCATTTGTCTTGACTTCGCCCTGGCATCGGCGGACACCACGGGTCACCACGGGACATCACGGGACACCGCTAGGGCCACCGCCGGACGGACGGACGAACGGACGGGGGATCAACATTTGTCTTGACTTCGCCCTAGCAAAGGTGGTTCATTCCTCTCGCGCGACCACGTTCCACTGCGATCTCACCCCCCAACCCTCGATATACACACACGCACATACATATGTATACATACATATCATATATATATACTACACAGATGCAGTGTACATACATGGAGAGAAAGTTGTCTCCATACATCGATATATGAATATAAATTAACCCCGTGCGACCCTACCTAGGAGTGGGGCCCCCTAGGAAAGCAGCATAAACTACGCGAAGCTAAACTAAGCTAAACTAAGCTAAGATAGCTAAGCTACGCTAAGCTAAGCTAAGCTAAGCTATGCTAAGCTATGCTAAGATAAGATGATTTGAGACAATCTAAGCTAAGCTAAGATAAGCTAAGCTAGGCTAAGCTAGGCTAGGTTAAGCTAAGCCAAGCTGGGCTAATCTAAGCTAAGCTACGAAGAGATAAGCTAAGCTAAGCTAAGATGAGATAAGCTAGGCTAGACTAAGCTAAGGTAAGCTACGCTAAAAAAACTAAGCTAAGCTAAACTAAGCTAAGCTAGTATGAGATAAGCTAAGCTAAGCTAAGCTAGGCAGCTAGGCTAGGCGAGGCTAAGCTAAGCTAAGCTAAGCTAAGATGAGATAGGCTAAGCTAAACTAAGCTAAGCTAAGCTAAGGTAATAAGCTAAGCCAAGCTAAGCTAAGCTCACCCAGGGGGCGCGGGGGGATCCTGGGGGAACCGCAGGGCGGATGCCGGGGGAACCGCCCGGGGCGAGCCCCAACTGCCCATCCCCTTTAAGCTGATAAAATAAGAACCCTTCTAGGCAGAGCCTAGATAGGGAAAAAGAGAGGGGTGGAGAACAACAAGAAACAGCAGAACACATGAGAGAGGGATTGACGAGAGAAAGAAACACATGGGATACATACGACCACATATAGAGAGAGAAGACTGGGGGAGAGAGGGAGAGAAAGAACACGAAGCAGAGCGAAGAGACACATAGAGAGAGAGGGAGAGAGAGCGAGAGAGAGGAGAAACACGAAGAGGCCGCCACGCGAAGACGCGGGCACTGGCGAGCTGCCCGCGAGTCGGCGTCCTCCTCGTCGCCGTCGTGTAACATCACCTGGCGGGGGCCGGGATCTGCTGGCCCGGGTCAATCCAAACCTGGGTCAATCAAGCCTTGCAGAATCCTGCAAAATCCTGCCCCAAAGCCCGGGTCAATAAAAAAAACTTGAAAAACCCTGAAGGATCCTGCACCCAGACCCGGGTCAACGCGACCCTGGCCCTGCAGGATCCTGCAAGACCCAGCGCTCTCGCTGACCCCCGTTTGCATTGACCCCCGTCTCTTGAGTCCCGACCCTCAAGCGCGCGCTTCGCGCGCCCCGGGGCCGACGACAGTCGAGGCTCGAGGACGCCCGCTGCGGCAAGGGTGAGGGCGGGAGGAGGAGGAGGAGGAGGAGGAGGAGGAGGAGGAGGAGGAGGAGGAGTAGGAGGAGGAGGAGGAGGAGGGAGGATGGAGGAGGGGCGAGGAGGAGGAGGAGGAGGAGGGGCGAGGAGGAGGAGGAGGAGGCGGAGGAGCAGGAGGAGGAGGAGGAGGAGGAGGAGGAGGGTGGCAGGCCTTGGCGCGCCCCGCGCGCCCGTGCGGCAGTGCCGCGGGAGGGGGGCAAAGGATCGGGCGAGAGAAGGGGGTAGGTCCGGTGCATCTCCATCCTCTGTGGGGCCGAGACGTCGTGGTATCCCAGCGGGCGGTGGGCATGGACACATGTGATTAGTTTGGCCCTGGGGTGCCGAAAGTGTCCATCTCCACTGCCTGCCGCAGTCCCCGAAGAGGGATCCCCGAGACAGTGGTTGTAAGAAAATCTCCGCCTCTGATCGAGGGTCCAGGATCGACGTCTGTGTTGGCGCTTGTTCGTCCATGTTCGGTCGAAGACCGAGGGATCCTCGCGAGAGACAGGATCGAGGATCGGGTTCTTTGGGGCATCTGTGCTCGTCCCTGTTGGATCGAAGGACCCTCTCTCGGGAGGGTCGAGGATCAGGGTCCAGGATGGACGGCGATGCAGGATCGACGTTTCCGGTGGCCTCTTTTTGTCCCTGTTGTGCCACGGATCCAGGGATCCTCTCGAGAGACAGTGTCGAGGGTCCAGGGTTGAGGATGAAGGTTGCCTTGACGTTGCTTGTCCGTGTAGGGTCGGTGATCGAGGTTCGAGGATCGAGGGGCCCTCTCTGCCGATAGGGTCGAAGATCGTGGGTCGAGGATCCGGGTTGCTTGACGCGTGGTCGTCCCTGTCGGGTCGGTGATCGAGGTTCGAGGATCGAGGGGCTCTTCATTTGCTTGATGTTTATGTTTTTTGTTTGTTCTCTCTCTCTCTCTCTCTCGAGGGAGTGGGTCGGGAGTCGAGGATCGTGAAGTCGGGGATCGAGGATCGAGGGAGGGGGGAGTGGCCCTCCCCTGGCTGCACGAGTGTCCTGCCCCCTTCTCCCCCCCACGTCCCCCGTGCGCGGCCTTTTCTGGCCGCACGGCCGACGCGCCGAGATCCTCGCGGCGTAGTTGGGCCATCCCGCTCCCGAGCGGAGCCCTCCTCGTCCTCCTCCTCCTGCTCGTCCTCCTCCTCATCCTCGTCCTCCCCCTCCTCCTCCTCGTCCTCCTCCTCCTCCTCGTCCTCCTCCTCCTCGTCCTCCTCCTCCTCGCGCTCGTACTCCTCCTCCTCCTCCTCCTCCTCCTCCTCCTCCACCTCCTTCTCCTCCTCCTCCTCCTCCTCGCTTGTGCGAGGCCGTCTCACCAGACCCCCGGCGTCGTGATCCTTTCATGACGTGGACGTGGGCCCACAGATGTCTGGACTCCCTCCCTGGGGCCACGTCTTCGTCAGGAGTCCAAGACGGGGCTAGGATGAGGATCCAATCTGGGGAGGGTGCATTGAGAATCCCTGAGATCCGGCGGCTCTGGAGGCGGTCTCGGGCGCCGCGGCCTTCGCCCTGAGAGCGTTCCGTAATGCTTTGGAGCGGATCGGGCGAGGGGGAGGACGAGGAGGAGGAGGAAGAGGAGGACAGGGAGGGGGAGGGGGAGGGGGAGGGGGGGGAGGAGCAGGAGGATGGATCCTCGTCCGAGCCCCGTCCGGGGAGTCGTCGTTCCACGGTCCCTGGGCCGGGCGAGGGCCTGGGGCCTGCACGAAGGCAGCAGACGGCCACATGACGCCCCGTCGAGGCTCTCACTCACGGCTCGCAGGGGGTCCTTGGGAAGCTGCTCCCCCTCGCGACCTTGCAGCACTCTCCGTGCGCGCGCGCCAGGGCGCCTCCCCTCCGCTCCTCGCTCGCTGCACGGCCCTCGCCCGCTCTGAGCGCGAGGAGACGCTGCGCAGCTCGCCGCCGAGCCGGAACGGGAGAGGGGGGGGGGCTGGGAGGCAGCTTCTAGAAGCTCTTCGTCGGAACGGTCAAAGGCTAACGAGCCCTGGAAAGTTGGCCATTGAGCCGGATAAGGCCAGGTTAAGCCCTGGACGAAACTGGACTAAGCGGGATTAGGCCTGGTCGAATGAGATTTCGCCTGCGTGGTGCTAAAAAAGACGAAGCCAGCTTTCGAGCAGGGATATACCAGCGATGACTCTGATTATAACCTGCCAGGAGCTGCGTCCTCAGGAGGATCGAGCGGGGAGAGTGCGAGCAGAGGGGAAGGAAGGGGGGGCAGGAATCAGACAAAAGACGTACGCGCCCAGCCATGTACACGAACATGCCTCCCCTCCCAGTCTGCGAAGCCAGCCTCATGCTGCGGACGCTCGCGCAATGCAGGCCCTCGAAACCTAAGACAATTCATACACACGTGCGTCTCTTTTTTTGTTTCGCTCCTGAGGGAAGGGCGCTCCTCATCCTGGCCCCCTCCGTCTCCTCCTGGCCCCCACGCGAAGGCGGGGCGCCGGATCAGCCGAAGCATGCCTTGCCGAAACCGAACACCGTTCCGCGAACACCCGCGACAAATTGCCAGCAGTAAGCCGATCGAACGCGCAGTACGCCGATCGATCGATAAGCTGTCGGGAGGGACGCGGGGTACGGGGACTCTCCCTCCTCCTCCTCCTTCTCCTCCTCCTCCACCTCCTCCTCCTCCTCGCTTAACCGGCGGCCCCAGCACCCACCTCGCTTTGTGATGGGTGTCCACTGGGGCCAGGCGCGTGAGGAAAGTCCGCAGCTCGTTCAAAAGGAAACGTGCAGCACAAATTCGGGAGCGGATCTGCCCCGCACGCGTTGCCCCCAGTGTTTGCTCGGTTGTGTGGCTTGGCCTGGAGTCTGCCAAAGCAAGCGAAGATCCTTTCAGTGTTTCTTTTACCTGTTCCCCTTGTCCGAGGGTCGCAAGAGGTGCCCAAGCATCCCTTCATCTGGCTGGAGCGGAACCTGCGACCGGTCGTCCACATCATCACCATCATCATCATCATCATCATCATCATCATCAGCAGCATCTTCATCAGCATCATCACCACCATCATCATCATCATCATCATCATCATCATCATCATCATCATCATCATCATCATCATCATCATCATCATCATCATTAGCATCATCATCATCATCAGCATATTCATAATCATCTCCATCGTCATCGTCTTCATCACCCTCATCATCAACAACGTAATCAACAGCATCACCATCAACAACAACATCATCATCACCATCATCAACATCATGATCGTCGTCATCAACATAATCACCATCATCATCATCGTCATCAACATCATCACCAGCAGCATCATCACCGTCATGATCACCACATTCACCATCGTCATCACTATCATCATCATCATCATCATCATCTCAATCATGAGCAGAAGCATCATCATCATCATTGCCATCATCACCACCAGTACCATGACCATCGCCATCGGCAAAATCATCACCATCATCAAACGTATCAGTATCTTCATCGTCATCCTCACCATCATAACTAATCATCATCATCAACATCACCATCATCATCGTCGTTATCATCATCATAATAAGAATCCCCATCATCACCACCACCATCACTATCCTCATCATCATCAGCATCATCGCCACCATCATCACCTTCATCATCATCCCCACCATCAGCATCATCATCTTTAACAGCATCACCACCATCAGCAGCATTACCACCACCATTATCGGCATCATCATCGCACTCATCATTATCATGACCATCCCAATCACCATCATCATCACCATCATCATCAACATTCTTCTTATCATCCTCATGGTCATCATTATCAGCATCATCCTCAACATCATCATCATCGTCATCCTCATCCTCATCATCATCCTCATTATCCTCCTCATCACCCTCCCCCTTCTCCTCCTCCTCCTCATGCTACTCCTCCTCATTCTCCTCATCCTCCTCCACCTCCTCATCATGCTTTCCTCATCATCCTCATCAGCATCATCACCACCACCACCACCACCATCATCATCATCATCATCATCATCAGCATCATCATCATCATCATCATCATCATCATCATCATCATCATCATCATCATCATCATCATCATCTCCTCCTCCTCTTCCTCCTCCTCCTCCTCCTTCTCCTGGTCCTCTCCTTACTCTCAAGCCCCCATTGGCGCACCGCACCGCGGCGGCCTTAGGCCGCCGCGACCCGCGACGCGGCCCCGGCGGACCGTCACCCGCAACGCGTTGTAGGCCGACACGCTCGCAAGAGGGAAGGGAGGGGTTGGGAGGACTCTCTCGAACGGAGGGGTCAGGTGTCGCCGAAGGTGTGCCTAGCCCAAGTTGCCCAGGATTGCCTTGGAGTCCCAGATGGCCTCCAGAGCGCCCCTCATCCAGGAGGGGTGCAAGAGTCGGAGCAAGGCGGGTTGAGAGAGACAACAACACTTGTAAATTGACCCCCGGACCCCACCCGGGGTCCGAGAAAATAGCCGTTGCGACGAGGGCCCCCCCACCACATGACTCATGGGAAGGATTCTGGCGATGGACAAAATTGTTGCGTCGCAAACAACCGCACCCGAGCCCTAAAACCCAATCTTTGTAATGCACTCTGCGAGCTGGGTCGATCTGTGATACTCCTTGAGCCCGAAACCGGGCGAAACCGCCGGGTGGGAAAAAATTGCGACGCCCAGATCTCAAGGGGAACGTTACCTCGCTCTCGAATAAGGTCTCCCTCCGGCGGCCATCCTCGCCAGGTGCGCCTAGAAAGCGCCCTCCTCCTGCCGCTCTCCTGCCGCTGGGCTCTCTGGACGAAATGAGCCTCCTCCTCCTCCCCCTCAGCCTCTTCCTCCCCATGCCCTCCTCATCCTCCTCCTCCTCCTGCGGCTCCTCCTCCTCCTCCTACTCTTTTCCTCCTGCTCCTCCTCGTCCTCTCGCTGGCTCCTCCTCCTCCTCCTCCTCCTCCTCCTCCTCCTCCTCCTCCCTTCCTTTTCATCCTTCTCCTCCTCCTCCTTCTCCTCCTCCACCCTGTCCTTATACAAAAAAATCGCTGTCGCACCCCCAGACGTGTCGGTAGGTCGGACCTGCCATTTCGCTTGAGATTTTCTCACAATGTACAATCCGTAAACTTGAATTCTGCAACAGATTCACGGATGGAGGGCGGGTGTGATGTAACATGTGGCTCTCGCCTGAACGCTGCGCACATTCGTCTTAAACGTTCGCAACAGTTTCAAAGATAGAGGGTGGTGCGATTGCAAAACTCTTGTTCGCGCGGTAAACCCATGCGCATTGTCAAGGGGTTGTACGGTTGAAGTTCCAGGAACGGTGGTCTGGCAAGGTTTAAGATCAGGACGCAGAAATCATGTTGATTCGCGGCGCTGACATCTCACGAACTGTGGTTTGGCACCCGTGACGATTCTCATACGGTCGTGTTCCAACGGGACGCTGCGTGGGAATCGGAGGTTGGGGGGTGAGATCGCAGTGGAACGGAGACCCCCAAGTGGGAAATCGTTTCGTTTCGCTCGTGTCGCGCGTGCGGGCGAGATGAAGCTGCGTGGGCGCGCGAGAGGAATGAACCCGCCGTTGCTAGGGCGACGTCAAGACAAATGTTGCTCCCCCGCCCGTTTATCCGTCCGTCCGTCCGGCAGTGGCCCTAGCGGTGTCCCGTGGTGTCCCGTGGTGTCCGCCGTTGCTAGGGCGAAGTCAAGACAAATGATTCTCCCCCTCTCGCCCGTCCAGCGTTGGCTGGCGGTGTCTCGCGGTGACCCGTGGTGTCCCGTGGTGTCCGCCGTTGATAGGGCGAAGTCAAGACAAATGATTCTCCCCCTCTCGCCCGTCCGGCGTTGGCTGGCGGTGTCCCGCGGTGACCCGTGGTGTCCCGTGGTGTCCGCCGTTGCTAGGGCGAAGTCAAGACAAATTATTCTCCCCCGCCCGCCCGTCCGTCCGTCCGTCCGGCGGTGACTCGCGGTGTCCCGCGGTGTCCCGTGGTCTCCCGTGGTGTCCCGTGGTGTCGCGTTGAGTGAGATCGATAGTGAGATCGATAGTGAGATCGATCGTGAAATCGATACTGAGGTCGGTGTGATGCCACAAGGTGTCCCGTGGTGTCACGTTGAGTGAGATCGATAGTGAGATCGATAATGAGATCGATGTGGTGTCCCGAAGAGTCCCGTGGTGTCCTATGGTGTCCCGTTGAGTGAGATCGATGGTGAGATCGATAATGAAACCGATAGAAAGATCGAGAAGTGTCCCGCAGTGTCCCGTGGTGGGTGGCCCGTGGTGTCCCGTGGTGTCTGGTTGAGTGAGATCGATGGTGAGACCGATCATGAGATCGACAAGTGTCCCGTGGTGTCCCGTTGAGTGAGATCGACAGTGAGATCGATTGAGTCAGATGTTGGTTCCCCCCCCCTCTCCCTCCCCCCCCACCCATAACTTCCTAATCACCCGAAGGGTGGTCGTATAGGTAAGTATTGGTAGGGGCCAATAGAAGGGGTGTAGGAGGGAGGGTTTATTGAAAAATAGTCGGCGCGTCTGTGGCTTACACTTGTCCTCCCACCGGCGTCGCAACGCCCAAACGCGTTGATAGGGCGGGTCGCGAGTTTCGCCAGAGAATTGCGCACCATCTATAACCCTGAGGCTTGATTCTGCATCAGGGTCGCGGATGGATGGCGGGTCCTCATAAAAATGTGGCTGTCGCCTTAGCACCGCGCACATTCGTCTCAAAAGTTGCCAGCAGCTTCATGGACGGATGGCGGGTCCTCTTCAAAATGTGTATTTCGGACAAGTGCCGCGCACATTCGTCTTGAAAGTTCCCAAGAGTTGCATCAAGGATGGTGGACCGGTGATTATAAAATGCAGTTCTCGCATGAGCACGTTCGCCTAAAGCTTGCAACAGGTTCAAAGGTGGAGGCAGGTGTCTGTTCAAAATGTTGCTATCGCCTGGGGCCCGCGAACATTCGTCTTAACAGTTTGCGACCATGCCAAGGATTCGTATGACTGCTGAAATACCAGGAAAGGCGATCTGATACGTTTGTGGACAGTCAGGACGCACCAGTCACGTTGACTCGTGGTGTTGAAGTCCCAGGAATGCTCTGGCACGATTTAGGATTGGCAAGATGCAGCAGTCACGTTGATCCGCGGTGTCGAAATCCCAGAAATTGTGCTATGCCACGGTGGAAAACTGTTAGACGGTCGTTTTCAACAGGGGCACTTCCCGCAATGAAGCGAAAGTATTGCTCACACTGGTCACCCTCCTCCTCCTACCACCTCCTCTCCCTGCCCGCGCTCTTCCGCCTCCCTCGTCCTCATCATCCTCCTCCCACCTGCTCCCTGCCCGAGCCCCTCCTACCTCCCGCCTCCTCCTCCTCCTCCTCCTCTTCCTCCTACCCCCCTCTTCCTCCTCCTCCTCCTCCTCCTCCTCCTCCTCCTCCTCCTCCTCCTCCTCCTCCTCCTCCTCCTCCATCCTTTCCTCCCTCCCTCCCTCGCTCCCTCCCTCGCTCCCTCCCTCTCGCCTCCACCCGCGGCGGGCTCGCCTCGGAGGCGCCTGCCAGCTTCAGCGGCTCGCCCGGCCACGAGCGCACGCTGCCGGGAAGGCGGTCGGAGCGCCGCACGAAGGGAGGCAGCCGCTCTGCCTTAGGGCGGACGGGGCCAGCTGCCCGGGTGGTGGTGGGGGGGGCCTCCTCTGCCCTTTTCCCGGGTGGTGGGTGGGGGGCCTCCTCTGCCCTTTTCCCTCATCTGTCCTCCTCGCCCTCCCTGCTTCTCCTCCTCTTTGTCCGTGCTTCTCCTGTTGCTGCTGCTTTTCCCCCTCTTCTCTCCCTCCTCCCCCAGTTCCTGAGCCTCTCCCTCCTCCCCCATCCTCCCTCCTCACTCCCCCATTCTCCCTCCTCCCACCTTCCCTCCTCCTCCTCACCTTCCTCCTCCTCCTCCTCCTCCTCCTCCTCCTCCTCCTCTTCCTCTTCCTCTTCCTCTTCCTCTTCCGACCCCTCCTCGTCCTCATCATCCTCTTCTTCCCAATTCTCCCATTCCTCCTCCTCCTCCTCCTCCTCCTCCATGCATTGTCTTTCTAAGTAACTCCCTGGGAATCCGCAACAATTTGCAAAATTGAGGGCGGTTGTTTAAACGTGTGTCTAGACAGGTTTACAAAATGTTGCTCTCGGCTTAGTGCCGCGCACATTCCTCTTAACACTTTCCAGCAGTTGCATCAAGGATGGGCGTTTGTCAGTTTGCACAATCTGGCTCTCGCCTTGGCATCGGGCACACTCGTCTTTAACATGTGCAGCAAGTCTAAAGATGAAGGGCGACTCTTTTTCAACATGTGGTTCTCGCCCTGGCGCCGCGACGCAGCGTACAGCAATTTACAATATTCGTAAGCTTCGAACCATCAGACCTCTGCCCGGACATGCCAACGGACTACCGTGATTCGCGGAGTTCACGTTCAATGTTCTGGTACGGTTTAGGAATGTCAAGAGACAACAATCCAATTGATCAACGGCATTGACGTCTTGGCACGATTGGGATTTCACCGCGACTGTGATGCCCTGGCGGAGTCGCAACGTGTGCGTCAGTGAATGTTGCATGTAGTCTGCTGTCGTGGCTGGAATAGGAGGTGCATGGACAGAGGGACCGGTACGATTGACATTGGCACGGATCGAACGAGGACGAATACCGACATCAGTGCCTTATCATCTTAAAGCAAGACTCGCTGTAAGTGTCGCCGCGGGCGCTGCTGTCCTCCATTTAGCGGTCGCTGTGGGTTTTGAGCATCGTTTGCTGCTGGTACAGTGCAACAATCTGCCCGCACACATTTCAGACGTGTCCAATGGAGGTGGAGGGGGATCTTTCCGACCAGAATCTGTTCAGAACTGTATACTCAGACCCCTCCTGGGCATAATCCCAACCTTTTTCCCCAGCCGTGTCCAGCCGTGGCGTTGAGCGGTGTCCCTGGAGCCAAGGACATGGGGAGGAGACTGGAGTTGATGAGGAGGAGGAGACAGCGGAGGAAAGTCTCCTCCTCAGCCCCCGCCCCCTCGTTACTTTGTCCTGGAGCGGAGGAACAGGAGGGGCATCCGAAGGAGCGGGAAAAGAAGACGGACGAAACGGAAAATGAGAAACAGGCTATGCGTCGTCCCCCGCACACGCTCACTGTCGTTGGGTGCGGGGGCCGAGCCTGAACGAGATTGCAAGAAATCGTTTCTCCAAGTTCCCTCTTCGCAAGCCCCTCCAATAATCAATATCTTTTCATTGCGGGAAGTGTCCCATTGGAAGACAACCATGTGGTGACGGACCGCGGGGCCACCTCGGAATCCCCAACGACTTCACCGCACGGTCCGTGGCCGCAGGGTGTTGGCACGTTGGAGGCCCCCCAATCACCCGTGACACCCAGGGAGCACGGCCCGAATTCCAAAACCAAGCGTTGACCCTGAATCCCCACTGACCCACCACACGGTGTGACACTTCAGTGACAACTCCTACGAGCCTCCCCTGCCGTCTTGCTGGCCGACGCCAATCGGCGCTACTCGGCACACAGCGACGCTAGCTGACGCTGAATCGCCGCTTGGTCGGCGCTGTCCCTTCGACTACCACACGCTAGTCGACGCGCATCGCCACCGCGCCGTCTGGAAAAAACACACACCGCGTGTGGGCCCGCGGGCACTGCGGAGGCTGACGCCGGGCCGGCCCCTGGCCTTTTGCTCCGGGCGGTCCGCCGGCTTGCCGCAGCAAGCTGCCCCGGCGTCTTCCCTGCGTGGGGGGGGCTCGGGGGGGGGCGCACCGCCGCCGTTGTTTTTCTGGGCGGGGAAGAGGATGACGAGGAGGACGCGGAGGGGGAGCAGAGTATACGAGAAAGAAGCATGGACTAAGGCAGCGTGGAACAGCGACGGGTCCCTTTTCCATGCAAGATCGGCGCGTTCCGACGCCAAGTTTTGAGAGTCGGGCCCAAGTTTCGGGGGTGCGTTCCCCGATATGTGGATCTGGCGCCCACGCGACAGACTCACGGATCCCTTATCCATGTTCGCGTGCGGCCGAGGAAAAAAGAACTGAATTATGTCGTGCCAAGCAGGCTGTGGAGTTCGCACACAGTTACATAAGGTCCCAAATATGCACCGCACCATTTTCACGAGCTTACCTGCCTCGCAGCCTGCCTCGACCTTCCTACACGCTACAAGCTACCTCGACGCACGCTCGATTCTGACAGGCCTGTAGGCCCAGGGACCGTGAGGAAATGTATGGGAAGCTCGGTTGGGTAAGGAACGCCGGCCTCACCGTCACTCCTGCGTTTGTTGTTACCAGCACCGCCCAAGGCCGGTGTTCCCTGGCCACTTTGCTGGCTCAAGCCTTCTTCATGCTACGGCCACTCCGAACTGCCTTTGCTAGTTCGTCATCGCTAAGTGGGCGAAGCGGTCCGCCTGCTAAACACCTGGCCTTCTCTTTATCACGATGCGCAATGCGTTCCTGCTGTCGCTTGACAGGACAAGCGTCGCGTTCTCGTGCCACTCGCTTATCAGCGACGCCAATCTGAAAACCTTGGTCGGTCCAAATCCGAATGCGCACAGCTCGCTTTGTGCTGAGGAGAAGGGCCACGCCCTGGCGCCGTTCCCGCGACAGCGCAGTGCACCCGTAGTACTTCAATACACCGCCGCTGAATGCGACCCTGTCGTCCTTGTTGCCTGCCCAATCCACGTCCGCGCGGCACTGTGCGATATGCTTGATCTGTTTGGCAGGTTGCAGTGCCAAGTCCATTTCCATGGTCCCAGCGAGGTATCCTGTTACCTTCTTCAACCTACGCTGGTCTCTCTACGCTGGTGCCGCCATGCCACGGTTACACGTGCTGTGGGTCAATCCTGCGGTTTGACATGTGTAGAAATTTCCCCACGCGCATGCTGTGCTCGCCGTGGCCTGCTGCGTTCAAGAAAAAGTCGTCGTCCTTCTGCTTAGCCTCGTTGTTTGTTTCCAGGGCGACTGAAGGTTTCGCTGTCTGCAGCCCGGGCTCCAATGGCACATCATCGACTAGCGACGCGTCTTACCCATGATGGCACAGCCGCCTTCGATCTTGCAGACCTGCATGCCCAGGAAAGCGCCGTCGCCCCCTGCGACGCACAGCGCAACCTCGTCCGGAAGCCAAAACTTTTCGCCCATGTCCGCCAGCAGTTGCTCCACTAACTCCTGGGGCCCCGCCGCGAGGAAGTCATCAGCGCGTCGTCCTGCCTTGGCCTTGTCTTAGGCCCCCATGAAGATGCAGCCGTCGTCGCGCCCTTGAATGAGACCCATATGTTCTATCGCCACTGCGCTGTCATCACCCCGCGCCTCGGGTGCCCCTATGAGTCATGCCTGGGAACGCGCGCAGCGCTTCCCACGCGCAACCTGCTGGTATTCCAGCTTCGGGTGGCACCTGAAAGAAAGCCCCTGTCCTCCGTCAATGGAGCCCGGTGAAATGGCCCACTGGAATCGCCGGGTGCGACCGCGCGGCCGTTCACCCCCGCGTTGACCACCATCGCGCTCACGCGCGGTAGTGACGGAGTGGTGGCCACGAAATTATCGTGCCCGTAGGAGTGCGGCCCAAATGCCCACGTGGTCCACGTCCTCTCCTCGGTGCCGTCGGCCTGGTAGGTGTCGACTCACTTGCCGTCGATTTTTCGGAAGTCGCATTGAATGATTCACTATCTGATTGTCGTCGCCAGCGATCTTCTCGAGGTGTTCCAACCTCTCATTGTGGAAATTGCCTCCGGTCGCGTGAACCTCGTCGTCGTCCTCCGTCGGCTCCCCGCGCATCTCGCTGACCGAGCAAACCGTAGCGAACCGCGACTTGCTCTTGGCCTCGACACCTCCATGGCCCCCGCCCCGTTACGAGCCGAGCGAAGCGCGAACATTCCCACCCAGTCACCACCACGCGCGAAAGGGCACCCTCCAAATATATACACATGGGAGCACGACCTGTGCACACAGATCACACCGCGATTTGCGTAAACGGTGGGCCCGCACGCGCAAACGTACACTTGAATACGCGAGCTGCGCGCGCAGATCGCACCTTGATCTGCGCTTGCTTGACGCAGTGGCAACTTCCCCCGTCCAAGACAGCCTTTTTTCTATTTTTTTATAAAACAAAAAAAAACATAACAGAAGTCGACGCCCCCAGCTAAGGGGGCGACTGCGAATGCACCCCTCCCTGGCCTAAGGCGGCCTCCAGGGACTGCAGATGCACGCATCCCTTGCCTAGGGCGGCCACCGTGGAACGCGGCGCAAAGGCTGCCCCCAACAACCCCGAGACGTTCCAAGAAGGCCCCGAATGACCCCCCAATACGGCTCGATTCCAGTCGACAGATGTCACATGTCACGGACGTTTGCGCAACCACTACTCGATGCATCGCCGCGCAGACCGCTGCGCTGGCACGGTGGCGGACCTTGCGACAGGCACCACAAGCTTCACATGTCAACGCTACGACTGTGCATGGCGGCCGTTGCCGTCCGCGCTGGGAATTCGCCCCGAACGTTTAAAATCGCTTCCGGTCGCGTGCGCGTCGTCGTCCTCGCCCGTTGGCTCCTCGCGCATCCAGCTGACCCTGCAAATATCAGCGAACCCTGATCTGCTCCTGGCCTGGTCACCTCCATCGTCTCCGTCTCGCTCCCGTTTGCGAATCGCCATTCCGACTGCTGACGCCGCCCTTGCTGCCGAGCGAGGCGGCCGCTCCGAGCTGCTCGCCGCTGCCGTTCCCGAAACCGCTCCGGGAATGTTCGGATCTTGAATTCCAACGTTTGCCTGTTACTTCAGAAGAGTACATGGGGCAAACGGTCAATCGTAAGTTCAACCCGTATTTGGACGCGCGAACTGGCGAAAACGGGCGGCATCAACACGACGCAGAGGAGCGTCGTGAAGTTCGAGCGTTCGGCCTGGACGCACGCCGCGCACGACGACCCTGATCTGTTTTGTTTTGCAGCCGTCACTTCTGTTCCGGGGCGCTGCGCGGGCGCGCGCAACACCGCCCTCATGAGCGTTAGCTGGCGCCCGCCTCGCCCCCGTGCACCGACAACCCCCTTCCTCCCGTGCTGCTTCCCCGGCGCCCGATTCCCCCCCTTCCGCATCAGGCCCTTCTTCCTCCTCTTCATTATCGCGCCCCCTTCTGCCGCCGCGCGGCGTTCTTGCTCGCCCTCCGCCGACCGGCGCGCCCCCCATCGCCCGCGCCCTCGCCACCCCTCCCCCCATTTGCCCCGCGGTCACGCGCGCCCCATTATCCCCGTTTCTGCCCCCCCCCCGCGCTCCACGTCCCATGATGCCGACGCCGATGCTGCAGCTCCTCCTGGGCACATGGCCCCCCGTTTTCTCTTCCCCCTTGTGACCCCCAAGCCCCGTCGCCGCCCCTTCTCTGGCACCCTTTTCCCCCGTGGCGCATCATCCCCAAACGCTCGCGCCTTCTCGCCCTCCAAAGCAACGGCCCTTTCCGTGACCAGCCAGAGGATCTGCGAAAACTCCCGCCCAGTGACAACTCCCGCGAGTAGCGCGCAGCACGTGGGCAGTTGGGCGCGCGAGCTGCGCATTTCGCCCGCGCGCAATGCCCCCGCGTGGAGGAGCCGAGCGAAACGCGAACATTGCCGCCCAGTCACCACCACCATCCGCGAGGAACACCTTCCAAATGCACAGATGGGAACACGATCTGTGCACATAGATCGCGCCACGATCTGCGTAAACGGCGGGCCCGCGCGCGCACGCGCATCACTTAGAATGCGAGGTGTGCACGCAGGTCACACCTCCACCTGTGCCCTTTGAATAAATTCAAAACTTTCCACCACGAAAGCACACCGATCCTGCCAAACCGCGACCGAAGCCGACGTCCCCAACTAGGGGGGCACTGCGAATGCATCCCCCCCCTGGCCCAGAGAGGACCCCAGGGACTGCAGATGCACGCGTCCCTTGCCTAGGGCGGCCACCGTGGAACGCGGCGCAAAGGCTGCCCACGACGGCCCCAAGACGCCCCAAGAGGGCCCCGAAAGGACCCCCACAGAGGGACCGATACCAGTCCGACAATATGACACATGTCACATGTCACGGACGTCGGCGCAACCGTAACTCGAGGCGTCGCCGCGCAGACAGCTGCGCCGGCACGGTGGCGGACCTTGCGACAGGCACCGAAGGCTTCGCATGCTAACGCCACGACTGTGCATGGTGGCCGTGGCCGCCCTCGCTTGGACCGCGCCCCGAACATTTGTTTTGGGCGCGCCCTCTGCTTGACTGGTTCGCTGCGTTCGGATAGCGAAATGGCGGTGCAATGCAAACGCGGGCGCGCGGCCCCATCGCCTGCCTGTCCTAGAACAAGGAGAGAAGACAAGGCGGGGAAACGGATGGTGGAACAGGGGCGCAAAGAAGAGGAGCGAGGAATAAGGGGAACGTGGGGCCCTCTTGGGCGCCCCCCCGGCCTCGGCCCCGCCACCCCCGCTCCTCCTCGGGGGCGGCAAGAGAGAGGTGATGGCTAGGGGGTGGGGAATGTCATGGCCAAGGCCATGATAGTTGCCCGCATGTCACGGCCCCTCGTCTTGCTTCAGAGTCACCCAATTTCCAGGCACGTCCCAAGACTCCTACCAGCCACGGTCATCGGTGTCCCAGACACGTCCTAAGGCACACCATCACCTCACAGACATCCCAAGCCCGTCTTCAACTGCGCGTCAGACCAGACACATCCCGAACACGTTCGTAGACACGGCCCCAAGCGGAGGGCCCCCCACGCTGCCGGAGCTGCGGCTGCCTTCGACAC